CCAGCAACAAGCTGCAGAAACTGCTGAAGGGGACAGTGAATTATTTTAAGCCTGGTGGGCCCATGACACTTCAGGCCATCAGAGCAGAGATGCAACATAGAGATGGACTCATGATCAAGGGGTGGACTTAACAATGGACACTATTGCCCAGGTTATTCACAAGTGTGAACACTGCACACAGTCTCTCCTGCTCTGGAAGACTGTTACAAGAGATGGAGCCTGACATCATGGACCAGATGGACTCAGCAGCTTTATAGGGACTGGTCCATGCACTTAGATAAGAGTGATGGTATATTGAAAATGTGGGATCTGAGCATGACATGAATGGTATGGAATAAGGGGTGGATAATGTCCTGGGTTCAGCAGTAGCAGTCATTTTTCTCCTTGGTAGCTGGTGCAGTGCAGTGTTTTGACTTTTGGCCTGGGAACAGAGCTGATAGCGATGTTTTGTTTTGGCCAAGGACTTTGTGAGCCTTATGCTCTGCCAGGGAGGAGGGGAAGCTGGGAGGAAGCAGAGACAGGACACCTGACCCAAACTGACCAAAGAGGTATTCCATACTACAGCACGTCATGCCCAGGATGTAACTGGGAGTTAGCTGGAAGGGCTGGGAGACTGCAGGGTTGGAAGAGGTATGGGTCGCTGCTTGGTCGGACCTAGGGGTGAGTTATCGGTTGGCTGGTGGTGAGGTGTTTTATTCTCTTCCCTTGTTATTTCCTTTATCATTATGATAATTGGTGGTAGCAGCAGTGATTTGTGTTATACCTTAGTTACTAAACTGTTCCTATCTCAACCCATGGGAGTTGCAGTCTTTTTGACTCTCCTCTCCGTCCCTCCGGGAGCAGGGGGAGGGCAAGAAGGGGGGGGAAGTGAGTGAACGAGTTGCCTGACTGGGTTTAAACCACGACACTCAGTTACTCAATTCATTCTTTTTATCTAGATCCTTATCTGTACTGACTCTATCTTCTAAACTAATTTTTGCACCAAAGTTGTGCACAAAAGCGTTAAACAAAATTTGTCCCCAAAGTTGACTAATTCTTTTGGAGTTCCCTTAGTGCTCCTCTGGAGCACTAGATGTCCTCAGGCATTCTGGCCCGAAGCACTTACCTCCTCAATGTAATTCCTTACTCTCCCTTTTAACCACCTCTGTGTATCTGGCAGTATAGCTCTTTTGTCTCTCCCTACTTTCACCCTCTCTAAAAACTTTAGATGTGTGACAACAAACAAACTGAGGCTGTGTAGAGATCTCACCTACAACAAATACAAAAAAAATTCTCAGTGTAGTGTCGCAAAAACTGCTGCTGATAAACTTCATGACGATTTTTAGCCTTTTTTATATCTACACAAAGAATCTGCTCCCTCCCGCCCCAAGATTCGTCCAAAATCCTTGACTAGTCTAGTTCAATGTAATAGGTCTTCAGTTCCTTCAATAAATTTTTCCTTTCCTAAATATTTGACATCTTCTATTCCATCTTCACATGGCACAGCTCCTTTTTTGACAGATTTTGCTACCAGACTTGGAATTTCATGAGGCAGTTCTCCTTCCAGACATCTTTGATCAAGATCTACTAGATCATCTTGACTTGAGAGCTTTGATATCTGCATTTTACTTCCACTTTGACTATAGTAACGTCTGTTTTCATACATTTGATTCTATTCCCATTCTCATAATCAAATCCTCAAATCCTTCCCATCTTCATCCTCAAATAATCACCCAAGCTGAAAAATTAATTCATTCAGGATTGCCCTAACTGCTTCATATATTACCTCTGCCCCACCATCAGCATTGCTTCTTCCTGTTGAATACTCCTCCTTTATACAGCAAGAACAATTGATTGCTTTCAGTATTACCAGTAATTCTTAACTCTCAACGATTTCTGGAAATGTTCACTTCAAGCATGATTTCCTTCGCTCTGTGATATAGTTTATTTCTTTCCCTATATCCCATTCCTTTTAGACATTATTTTTCTTAAATTTCTACAGAAAACTATGTTTTTGCCCTGGGAAAATACAGATTCCTTACGTTTTCTCCCTTTCAGGCTTCCTCTGCCTTTACACTCTTAGTTGCTTTAGTTCATCAGTACTTATTTTTTGAAATTTAATAGCCTTATTTAAAGAATAATTTAAATTTACTCTTTTAATTTAAACTGAATCAATTATATTGGGAACCTAAAAACTAAAATACTTACTAAATAATAATAATAATAATAAATCATTTTACCATGGTTTTCATGGTATTAACAGTACATTAAAAATTTAAACATAAGTAATTTTAAATTTTAGAGTAAGTTTATCCTATTTTGTCATTTCTGTAAGACAATACAACTGCTCTAGGCTGAAAGCCTCTGCATTTGGCTTTTATCATGGTATTCACTGAAATTAATCCCTAGAAAATCAATTATGACTGAATCAATGAATGAAAATCAGGATGACTAATTGCCAAGAAAACTGCTATTCAATGGGATCACAACTCAGTCCCATAATTATCAAACCTCTAATTTGTTCCTATCTGTAAGAAATTACAACAGCATGGCTTTTCTTCTTACTAAAATCAACAGATAAACTCAGATGAATTTTTGAGACACTGTATACTTTACAAGAAGTTTACTGGTTAAACAAATTTGTTACTTTCCAGTTGACAGTACTGTTCTACTTATGCAAGCAGATGATGTAAAATTCTACAGTAATAACAACACAAAATACAAGTGAAATATTTTAGGAGTAACATTCAGTAGAGATTTAAATTTTCAATTCTATCTCTGCCATACTTCGTTGCATGCAGCTGAGACTAGTAGAGACAGAAAACTGCTATTATCTAGTAATCTGAGTGAAATAACTAGGTGATCTTTGTCAGTCAAATTTCAGCAATCCCAAATGATTCCCCACCTAGATAATCTTACGGCCAGGCCAAAATTGTATTGGTTTTAAGAATTAGAAACATACAGCTGCTGATTTTATGAAATGATCACCCATCATTAGTGCCCTTGAAAACATTAGCAGAGAAAACAGATCTGGAAAATGAAAGAAAATATTTCCATAGAAATCAGAAATAAACCAGTAATATAGTTTCACAGCATAAAAATGAGAAACTGCAGAGCTGCTGCAGTTTTTAGGCTCACATCAGATCTGGAATGAAATGAAGTGATGTTTAGAACAAAATGTATCCCACTAAAAAAATAAGTTTCCTCATTTGGCCACATTTAACCATTTGGCCACGCTGAAGACTATTTAGAAACTGAATTAGGAAGCCATCACATGGTGCATAAATTAAAGATAACCTTATAAAGTGTTTGATATTCAAGTCTGTTGCATGTATTACAAAGCAAGGGCCTTGTATAATAAATCGGAAGTTACAAAACTGCAAAATAATTCTTTATAAATTAAGTCAGTCATTCCAAAACTTAAACCAGTTCTGAGGCAAAGACTCTTAAGATAGTCTGAAGCTTGACATCTGCAAGTAGAGATGACTGTTGCGTGACTTTTTGTGTGTGTGTGTTTTTTTCATTTTGTTGTAATTTGTTTGCTTTGTTTTAGTTTGTTTTGATTTTTTTTTTTTTTTTTTTTTTTTTTAAATGAGCAATCTGGGATTCTACCTGTGTGGCTTATTCTTTAATTTCACTATGGAAAACTGAGAGTCTGGAGAGTCATTCCTCTTTTATTATTATTATAGCCTTTATTTTAAGTGATGCAATGTTTATAAACAGAAGAAATATTTTCAGTCTTTATTTCCACATTTTTAAGATTAAGTAATGTCATGGTAAAGCACCTAAAATATTTCAAACTTAGATACTGCAACCATGTTATTAAAGCTAAGGGAATGTTACCATGTTTTTTTCTGAACTTCACCTTTTGGCAAAACTGAGATAAATTTTTCCCCAAACCTCCATGGAAAGAATTCTAGGTAGCAGTTCCACAGTTCATCTATGTTCGGTAAAATTATGATGCATATTTTGAAAATCTTTGTGCCATAGAGAATAAGCTCTAAGAAATGGATCTGACATAACATTCAGCATTATTTTTTCATGCTAAATTAAAGGCTTAAGGAAGGTAAAAGTAGATAGAATCCAAATGTCCCTTCCTGGCTTATATGCTGCACTTTGGTAGGTTAAGCAAATAATTTATTCAAAAGAAAAGGAACATGTAGCTGACTGGGAGACTGCAATGAAAATGCACAAAATACTATAGAAGCTAGTTCATAACTTCATGCAATCTCAGACTTTTGTTTCAGTAATTTAAAAAATTATCCTTTAATAAATGTCTTCTCCTCCAGACTACACAGCTAAAATATTCTGAACTGATTTTTCTCAGCCATTTTTTTCTCTCTCTGTGTGCAAAGATCAAACATTATTATCACAGCCATTTCAAAACATTATTGCTTATACCAGACATGAGTTTGTTTTCTAGTATCATAATGAAGCATCTGCATTCTTTTTTCATCCAAAAAGGCTACTAGGAGAATTCTAATCCAAAGGCCATTCAGTGATGGGTGATGTTCCTCTTTCTTTCCTCTTGGAAACAATCATCCAAACTTTATGGAAGATTAGTTTTCAAGGGCCACCATGTGTTTATAAATAAGTCAGTATTCATTTCAAGTATTATTTGTTTAAAGTTAACAGTGAGAAAAGCTGTAAATTTGCAACTACACCTTTCTGATGCAAATGACACATTAACTTCATGAACATTGATAAAGAAAGTTTTGATTTTAATGATTTCTCAAACTACAGTTGTTTCATTCACTGGTCTCTGTCTACAGCTTGGATGGTGTATTTAAATGCTTCCTCTAGGACTTTTACAAATCACAGATAAAGTTGTTGAGTACTGTTATTGCCTTTTATGTCTGCAGCTAAGAAAATGCTTGGACATCTGCTTAATTGAGTCAGCTGAGGCTCTGTTGGTACCATACCATTCAGCATCTCCCCTATTCACAGCACACACATATCACCAGTTCAATGACATCCCTTGGCAGCCTGCGAAATCTGCCATCAGACAGACAATTGCTTACCTATGTTGCTTGATGGGCTGGGTTCCTCTGTCAGGAGACAAGGCCTCTGGGAAAGACTGAGGGCCTGAAAAACTAGACTCCATAACTTTGTGAAGAATAGGCCCAGGATGCCTATCTGGTTTTGAATACTGTAGCATAGAGAATAAAATTAATTAATACACAAAAGGCAAAGTATATCATTGATGCTATTCAGTGAGAATTCCTATTGGAGCAGGGTAAGAAGTGCTCTAATGCATTTTTAAATTAAAATTAAGCATTGCAAGTACTACATTCATTCACTATTGTTTACATAGCAGAAAGCACCAGTAGTCATCTCCATTACTTTCTCCACATCAAAATGCTGATATCTGTATTAGTAGCAAAATTACTGACTGATTTGTCCACAACGATAGAGAACACGGATCCCCCTGACTAAAAGCCTGTTTTTGGGGCTGTCCATGCAGAGAGATCACAAAACACATCTCAGAGGACAGTCAGCACTTCCTTCGATCATTTGGTGATTTCATCAGCATGCATAACTGAAACAGCATCTGTATCATCAGATAAGTAATAAAAATACTTGAATCCTATCCATGGAGCCAGATATCCTTTCTGAACAGGTCTGAAAACTTTTGACTCCTGAGTATCTATGCTTGTGAGAACAGTGTAAACATAACTTTTCTTGTGACAGTTGTAGGTGTAGAGCAGTCTTTGGGCACATAGTGAGACACAAAGGTCTGTAAAGCCAACACCAGACATGAACAAGAATAGATTTTCTTCTTCTTGCTTTGTGATTCAACTGGAAATTCAGCAAAAAATTGTCTCTGATCCTGAACGGATTCAGAAAATCAAAGCACAAAAAAGCTGTGTTTTGGCATAGAATAATAATCAGTCTTGCTTTTGGTTACTGGGAAATATCTCAGAGATATGAGCGGTTACCCACATTTCCACCCAGGTATTTAATTTTTTATGTTGCATTACAATGACCTGCACTAAAACTAATTGGTCTATTTTTCTTTAATCCATTCTTTCTGTATTTAGTTTGTAATTTTAGTACTAGATACCTAGATACCCATGTTATCTTTACAATAAATTGGTCTTGTGGAAGCTATTACATAATTAAGTATTTTAGAAAGAAAATACAAATTCTAATAATAATACAAAAAAATCACATTGGCAAAAAAATGCCATGTTATGATACAACAGCATAAACATTTATGCAGAAGATAGATTTCTTTCAACGTACAGCTTTTTTTTTTTCCACAATTATTTTGTTGCCTAACAAAAGAGCAGTAACTCCTTAAAATATCAAATTATTTTCCGATTCTCACTTATTCTTAGCTACATTTCCCCAGACTTCAGCAAATCCAAAAGGAAAGTCATACAAGATAATTGTCTTAGAAAAAAAGGTGACATGCAATTTTATTTTGTCTACTGAGGCTTCTTATGACTGATTTCTGTAGCTTAAATAACAATTTTTTCTCTAATGCTCTTATCCCTCTTTCTGTTGTGTGAAATACCCACATAAACAGGGCTGCTTATGTGTTTCTGAAGGCAAAGCTAATGAGAGTGACAATATGCAAAATGCTGCGGCGTGCATGACATAAACACAACTGAAACAATACAGAACATATTCCACTCTTCTTTAAGTTATAATGACCTTAGTGTAAATGTTGTAGATAAAATACAGAAAATTCAGACAGAAGTATGATTTTTTAGGTACTCATGTTTTTGAAGGTTTTAAATTTGAATAGTTATCCTGCCAGCTGCAGAAATGAAACTGTCTTTGATTTCTAACCTGAGTAAATCAATTTGAGCTATGTTAAGAATGGGTTGTTAGTTGCCAGAAAGCTTCTGTCTTTTCTCATGTTTGTTCATGATACCAAATTGAAGGTCTGAATGGCTTATAAAACCATGAGTATGATGTGAATCATGAAGGCTAATTAGAGATAAGTTGAGCCGTTTGCTATGGGTAAGATAGGTGTAGGCAGGAGCAATGTTATACAGGGTCTTTCCTCACACCAGCTGAGGAAAACCAGGCCCTCTAGAAGCTGCCTTGATGATGACTAGCAATCTATATTGAAGGTCCAACACCCAGCACCACCCAGGCACAGCCTGCAAAGGATATTTTTTTCCCCTAACTAAACATTTCTTTTATGCCTTTTTCAAATACACCAGTTAACAATTACCATAACAGCCAAAACATTAATTACAATGAAAATACGAATCACAATTTAAATTGAGGGTGTGAATACACGGAGAATTTGAACAATGCAACTGAACTTACTTGGATGTATCACGTTATTCATACATTTTAATAGGTTTAAAAACATCTCAGTTTATTCTCCATTAACTTAAATGTAAGTGCCACATCCCTTCTCTGAGATAATCTTTGGAGAAAAATATCCTCAGATCTCTGTGAGGAGTTTACAGCAGTACCAGTTGGTATCCCCAGAAGAATGGTATACCAAACTGGGATTACTCCCCAACTGTATCCCAGCGGAGCCCATCATGGTGCTTCCACAGCCCAGTTCTCACCTGGGCAGAGCTTTCTGGAAGCCCCTGACTGTTCTGAGCTATTCAATACTCAGCCATGATGGAGAATAAGCTGTGAAATGCTTTCAATGGACTGTTCCAGTAGGTTGAAAGCACCACTGAAAGCTTATACATACTATTTGGGGATTTTTATGGTTTTATTGTCTTCTTGTTTAATTATTTGTGCTTGTTTGAGCAAGTACTGAGAAACGCTCCTGCATATGGCTCAATAAAGAATAATGACAGCATAAAAATAAAATATTTTGCAAATTTTCAAATTTTCATGGTTTCATGGAGAAAATCATCTCCAACTTCCATACAATTACTCAACACTGACAATAAAATTCCACCCCTGCTAGTTAAAGCTAAGTATATCTAAGGCAGCCTGGGCCAGGAGACTAGAAATCAGCCTCTGCCATTGAGCTACTGTATGACTGTGAGCATGTAATTCCCCCGCTCCATGCTCTGTATTCTTTACTCTAAAATGTAGGCTCCATAGATAATATATGCTGGTCAAGTGCTACAGAATAGCTTGACACTGCTGTCCTGTTTTCCTGTTTTTATGAAAACAAAACACCCATCCCTTTCACAGGCTTTTCTTAGGCCTTCGTCCTCAATGATTTTCCCAAAATAGAAATAATAAAAATTCAAGAAACACACATGGCATTGGAAGACAGGTAATGTGGGGATCCCATTTCAAAAATGACTGATGAGGCAAAGGGGTCAGCTTTAAATTACATTCAGAGAGGGTGTCTCAAGGAGGTAAAGAGCCAGTGATTTTTCTGAATTGGCTGACGTTGCACATAAACCCATCAGGTGGTATATTTAACATCCTTACAGGCGTTACCATATGTGTTATATGTTTTGTTGCCAACATTAGCTGTAGCCAGAGGCCAGTAAATTCAAGTTTGTCTATTCTGGCAGTTCTTTCTAAGTAGTCATGCAATATAGAAGTAAGAAATATACTCTTGATCTTAGCTGATAAATCACATTGTAACGCAGGCAAAACCACACAGTGATCTTTTAAAAGGTTGAAGTGTAGCTGTTGCTCAACAGATATTAATTGTAATTCTATCAGAGTGACTAAAAGTATTTATTTCTACTATCAACAAAAGACAAGACACAGAAAGAGCTACTGACTGCAAGCTATTAGAAAAAAAGTGTAGTGAAAAGTCAAACTGTATACTACAGCATGAAAAGCTTATTAACCACCTCAGAGGGAAAGTGATGGGGAATTAATAGATCCACTTAGTACTATGGGAGAAGGTGTTAAAATCCACGAAGATAAAAAAAGCATAAACAGCCATGACAACTCTCAGAATCACTACAGGAATGTCAAAGCTTCAGATGCCTGGTGTTTTATTTTGTGGCTTGGTTTATTTTCTTATTTTTTGTTTGATTTTGCTTTTTTTTTTGTCGCATGACATGTTTGTCAAGTTATGAGTATTTAAAGAAATAATCTAGTAAAGGTGGATTAAGGAGCTAGTACCGAGGTGCATGACTAGAACTCATGAAGACGAACTACAGAAAAAAAGAAGGACGGCCACAACACATCCTCTTGCCCCTGGCATAGTATATGAGAGGGCACAGAGCACTTGCTTTTCTAAGAGAGGCAGATGAGAATGTCAATTTACTTCCTTTTGCCTATGAGGACATCAAACCTTTTGCTGCTATCTCATGGAGCACACTAATTAAATACCTTTTGATGAGAATATAATTTCTTTGGAGCAGAGTACATATTACTAGGAAGTTTTAAGTTTCATGCATTAGGTGAAATAAATATGAATCTCGTGTACCTCAAAGATCCTGCATTAATAACTGTCACATCTATTTCTTTCTGACTTAAGAATTATAACAACATTCTCAGTGCATTAGTATTCAAATCCAAGATGCTAGAAAACCTAGCAAAAAGTATATTGCTGCCTCAGTATTTGGGAAAATCAGTGGACTTAAAAGATTCAAGAGAAATACTAGGAGCTGCGTTCAGTTATTTATGAATGTTGCTTTCAGTATACAGTATTTTAAACACTTAAGGATTTGCATCCTTAAGAAAATAATGCAATCAACTCTGAGAGAAATAGACTCAGCAGAGGTGAACACAATTACCAACTGTGCTCAGGAGGAATTCAGAGAGAACACATCTGCCCTGGCCAAATCTAACTCGTTATTTTTACTTTTCAGAATCACAGTTGAGCAGAGGAAAGAAGTGGAGGAGATGTAACGCATATGAGCGTGGGAAGAAAAAGCGTATGATACTTCAAAATACTGTCAATGCAAAAAAAAAAAAAAAAAAAATCTTTATTCCCTACAATATCACAAATGACAGGGAGGCATCCATGTTTTAACTTAAATGCCTAACTCTTCTTGCATTCTTCCTCAACCTCAGGGCCTGCCAAGATGGGTACTGGGCCCATGGGTACAATGTGGCCATTGTCACTTGTGTTTACCCTGCTGATCAGAGGGCAAAAACCTCAGAGTGAGTGACTGATTTCTCAAATGAAGACAATTCTAAACAGCCTACATTCAGAGATTTTAACCTGTGTTATGTTTCTCATAATGACGCTAATGTAAAAAAGCTTTAATTGGCACAGAGGTGGGATATCGTAGGTCTGAAGTCCTTTTCCTTCTGCAGTAATACAAGCAGCTGCAACTATAATGAGTTCAGCTAGAATAAAATACAAACTTTAGTTCATTTTAATACTTGTTTCAAGAATGAAAGGTGTGGTTTCATGGTTAGTAAAACTTTGATACATTCACTTGGCTTCTCTCACTTTAAAGTGGAGAAAAAGTAGAAAAAGTCAAGCTCTTTACAGCTACAAACCGCTTGAAACACTACCTGCTATACCATGGGTCTTGGGAAATATTAGAACCTCTTTCTTTACTATGCAGACTTTACTAAATATAGCAACCTCTAGGTCAAAATATGATGGCTCCTTCAGAACAGACATTACTAGAATAATATGCAATTATTCTCGGGTTTACACCAATGTATTCTTCTAGAACAAAAAGCAGGGTGAGAAACCTGAAAGCATCACCATTCAAAATAGGCAGGAGAAAGATATGGGAGAATCGTTTAAGGAAAGAGAGAAAGGTGACATAACATATAAGCGAGACGGTTTCCCCATGTGAGAAGAGCACAAGAAACAGCTACCAAGATTACATAAACCAAAATGCTATACTGGAAGACTAGTTTCCAGAAAACAGCCACCTTAATTTATTCAAGTTTATTTACTGGCTCCTGGAAATAAAGAGAACTAAGATTTTTCCCCAGATCCACGTGGTAGGAGCTGCAGATGGGAACTGAAGAGAGATCACACCCCAGCAGTGACTGGCAGAAAGGCAGCAGCACAGCCACAGGAGGAAGCAGTGGGAGCATTCTTCTCCCCACGGCAATACTTGGTCCCTTTCCTGCCCAGCAGATAATGCCTAGGGCAGATCTCTGGTCTCTGGTGGGAGCCGCTCAGCCATTCCTATAAAATGCCATTTCAAAGTTCTTTTCTGCTGCCTTGCCATCCCCCCTGCCCTTTTTCTCCATTCCAATCTGCCAAGTTTTCTAAATATTTCATGAACTTACATGCATTCCTGCACTAAAATCTTGCTAACAATAGAAACCATTATTACCTTGCACAGTTACACTACATCCTGCACAAGGTCATTCTGTTTGTCTTCCTTATTATCTTTGCTCCCAAAGGGAAAATGCATTAATGGCAAGAAGAAAACAGCTGCCTGCAAGCAGCCACAAGAACAAGAAAACAGTGTATTAATTACCAGCACTGAAAATGCCAATCTGAACAGCATTAAAAACAGAAAAGCAAATTTGGATTAAAATAATAAATAATAATAATGGCTTTCAATCTCTAATATCTGGAATCTATAAACTGCTACTTCAGCCATTATGACTATTGTCATAGCAAAAGAAAAAGACTTAAATAAAGCTTGTTGATGTGTTTGTCAGCTGCTTAGAAGACATCAAATAGTTCATAGTGATGATGGGTTGACAAAATATTGCACTGAAATACAGTCAGAAAACGGCAAAGAACATATTCTTAGTGCTAACCAAGACATACTTTATATGTTAGAACAAAAGGATTACAGAAGCTCTTTACAACTTTACCTTTTGTTGCCGTCATTACAACACTCCCCAAATATATTTTTTTTTTAGGGGCTAGAAAGGGCTGTCTGACTGAATGAACTGAAAGTAAAACAAAGAATTGCACAAGGTTCCCTAACTTGTGATTATGTCAGTTTAGTGAAGCTATCTACCTTCTTGAAATAGTGTATTTTTCCTCAAACACAGAGCATATCATAACTACAATGGTAGTCAGCCCTTTAAGCAATGCTAAGATACTCTTTCTTAAACAGGCAAACAAACCAACCCCCTCCTCCCCCCCAAAAAAAACCCACCCCCCAAAAACCAACCCCAAAACCTAACGGTTAAGCATTTAGAAAGGCTTGAATAAAACTGATTTCCTATTGCTACCAGACTTCTTCTCAGTTTTTCCAAAGATTTTGTTCAAATAAGACATCACTAATTGCATATGTCCACGGAGAAGAAAATGACATGCACTGGAAAGTAACTTACATCCAGGGCTAAATAAATCAGTCGTATTCAAGTTCCTTATTTCAAATACACTTAATGAATTTCATGATTGTGGAATTGTATTAAGTGTAACTATATACAGAAAATGACTAAATACATTTCAAATTTCGTTTGAACAAACTAACCTCAAAGACCTTTTAACTCATGACCCAGGAAAATGAGACCATCGGCACAGTCTTCCCTTGAGCACTAGTTTATATGTGTAAATTTAGGGCCAGATTTTGAATTTACTCTGAATTAATTGTGACAAATCTTTACATTTTTTCATGCAGGAACATTAATTATTGGAAGACTTGAAATCACCTAAGATCAAAGACCCCCACTTCAGCTGTAAACCATACATATGAGCCAAGGTATTGCAGAAAACTCTAATACTAATTTCCACTGTTGCATGCAGAGCTAGGGGCCTCAGCAAGGGATGTTACATGAACAAAATGCAACAGGACCCACTGAAATAAATTCAGAAAAAATCCCTCTTAGTGTTTTCCATTATCAGGCCTGATAGAAAACATTTCATGAAAGAGGTGAGAATTCTTGTTCCCATTGCTCAGATGCTGATAGCAACATGGCGATGTGCTGCCATCAGCAGCAGGAACTCAGCCAGGCTATTAAGTGTTGTAGCTGGCAGGATTACTTACATTTTGCAGCTGGACTTGGCTTTGTGCCATACACTCTGACTTTGCCATCATGCTGGAAGCATTTAGGCTGTAGGTTTTCCTATTCTGTGTTTCTTTCAGCTGTTCATGTATTTGCTTTGTTTGTTTCCTGCAGAGAGAAATAAAATTCATGTAAGAAAGAGTTAGTCTGATCATCTACTACAGCCACGGTATTTTTACAGCCATGGCTCCCTTTGTTCAAAACTTCACTGTATCAGATTAAACAAGTTGAGCTATTTCACTAGTGTCTAATATTTCAATGCTTTCAATGCAGTGGTCATTTTCTGGGAAGGCTTGAGAAAGGAAAAAAGAGCTCTTCTGTTTAAAATATCTTCTATTCTCAGATTACTATAATAGCATGCTAATTGTTTCAGCACAGAATTTTGTAAGATCATCTATTAAATATTTAACAATAGTTTGCAAGTAGGCCTGAATATTAAAAAAGCATTTTGCTCAGATTAAGAACAAAGACTTTGGCAAATACAGCAGGCATTAGACCCTGTTGGCTATAAAAAATGTTGAAGAATCAAAGATTTCTGCTAGCTAATTAGACTGACCTATAACCCACTATCTTGTATAGGCCAGCTTTTGCTTACAAGTTTAAACCTTGAAAAAAACATCAGTAGGGTATCTGCAGCTGTGTTTTCGACATATTATATTATGATCCACAATGTCAGAGCTAGGAATACCACCAGATGAATCACTTGCAATATTCAGGAGATAACTATGCTATTAATAATGGCTTTCTGTTTCTGCCACACTATATTCACAAACTGAGTTTTAAAGTTCTGTCCATGACTGAGGATATGAGGCAGCAAACTTTGTTTTGAATATTTCTTTTACCTTCCACAAACAGGTATCTCATCTGGGCAAAAACTGTTAGCAAAACACATGTAAGGTCTTTTATCCATCTCCATTCTTTTGATAAGCTACATTTTCTGAGACTATTAGTTTTAAATGATCAGTAGAAATAACTCCAATTCTACTTCCTTCTTTCCTTCCTTGTTGCTTTCCTGCCTTCCCTCCTTCTCCCTTGAAGATGCATCTCTAGCAGTCAACCCACACAGGCCCTGGAAACCACCCAGCAAGGTCAAGGACTTGCTGCAGCAGCAGCAGCACTTCATTATGCCACCAGCAGCTTTTAGACAGCAATTTCTGTGGAGCCATATTTCAGAGGAAGTGATTTCAGGGCAGTGTTGATAAGAAATAAAGGAAATGCAGTATTTCTATCCAGAAATGTGAAATTTTAGCAAAGAAGCTTCAAAAAAATTTTGAAAATTGCTTGTGATTTTGTTGCTGAAAGCCTTGTGACATTGTCAATTTTGATCACATCTTACTTGACTCAGACCAACGAATTTGACACTGAATGAAGCATAAAAGTATTTTTAGCTTCTTCCAGTACAGTCTGTTTTTAGCTCAGGAAAGTGTAAGAAACCAGAGGAAAATTGATTTACTCAAGTGTTCAAAGGGGAAGATGGTGAGAAAGGACAAGTTACCTCACTATGAAAGCAAGCAGTGAGAAGTATCGCACTGGACATATTCAGTATTTCTTGATTTATTAAAATAAATATATGGGATTTCTTCTGCCTTTGAGTTCCTTAGTTCAGTATGGGAGGTGTGCATTTCCCCACTACTCTTCAAACTTCAGTATTGCATAATTTAAGCATTACCTTAAATTCAACAAGCTGTAAGCACCTGCTCAGAAGTAGGTACTTGTTAAAGCACATTTCCTGAATACAGGTCATAAACCATGATAAACCTTGGACTCTACAAAGTTCTCTTATGTTTTCTATTTACATCCTATTTTGAAACAGCATGGCAAATAAAAAAGAATGAACTTACAAATATGAGTGGCATGTTTTGTGTACAGCTCACAGGAGCTCATAATTAGTAAGGTTTATGTGCACTAATCTTAATTAGTAAGATTTATGTGCAGTGGTGAGAGGAAATAATTTCTCAAACACAAAAACATTCAAAATTTACTTGTAAAGAATAATATCATATAATCTGAATAGATACATTATAAAGCATTACAGTGCCAAATCAGATTGATTCTGAAACATCTCTTTAAAAAAACTATTTTTATATCTACTAATTTTTGAAACCAGTGAAATTGAATAATTTAATTTGCAAGAAAGTCAAAATGAACTCTAGCTTTTTATAAAATTGCAGGGGAAATTCCTAAAACCAACTCTCAAGTTTGAATGAATAATTATTTTCTGATCATCCAAATTACATACACTGAGAAAATAAGCAAATGTATATCCATATGTCTTAATGGAAAGCTAGCCTCTTGTTTCTTGCTCTCCATAATAATTATGGAACACCTAGTCGTATTTGATGACTGTTTCTAAGCGGAGACTTCAAATAAAGTCTAAACAATGGCAGCAAAACATGATCACAACATCAGACGTTAGGAATCTCCTATATATACAATATTCTTAGAATTTAATAGGGAAAATAACAAAGCAAATTACAAAGTTTTTTAACTCTAATTTGGATTTGTTTCAAAAACCTGGGTTTGGAGTTGCTTCTACATCTATAAACACATGTAAGTAAACTGGATGCTGCACTTCAACATTACGATTGAGATTCCTGAAGGTATTTACCCAGAGAAATAATCAGGCAATTAATTTCCTCTTATGTTCATGCAACCTAATGTTACTGTTAGGTTTATGCATATTCATTTTGCCAAAATACAGGATGCATATAAAAGTAGAAACAATTAATAATTCAAAGTTAATCACCAACTACTGTTTTTATTTTATAATTTTTGTTTTCAAAACAAAAGGGCCTTATTTGTTCTACTTTAGATAAATCTAGCAATAAACTGCTGTTACTTCAGCAAGAAATAGTCGCTAGTCATTTATGAAAGTCTACACCATAAAGAGCAGCCCATTACTGTACTCGCCCTCTGTTGCTAACACTTACAGCACTTTCTCGATTACCGTAAAAGGAATAATTGGAAGTGTTTAATTATAGTTCTAAACTTCCCCACATTGAATTTATTTTTAAAAAAGACTTCTAATTTAATGGTGCATAGGGAAGCACATATTTCTAACAGTAGATATTATCCAATTGTCAGACTAAGAAAGTCAGGGTCAGTGTCTTTTTTCTTCTAGGGTGCAAGATTCAGATTTTCTGTAGTGTTAGCAATATTTTAAAATTTTGATACAACAAATTAAACCAGATTATTATCCTCCAAGCAGGAAGAATGCTCTGATAACTCATAAGCATGATAAGATACGCCTGCCTGATGAAGAAGCTCCTGAAAATCTATTGACTAAAAGCTAACATATGATAAGGGTTGAGGCACTTTAAATTTGTTGAGTTTTACACCCTTAAGACACTGGCCAATGTTGCAGTTATGACAGTTTTATGTGCCCTCTATGCAACCCAGTCTAGACACTATTTACATTTGATACAGTCTCCAGATGGAGCCAAAGCCAGAGAGCTAGGGATTGATTAGTATGTTAGCATTACCGTGTTTCATATATTTAATAAGACCTCTGGACTGAATGGGAGGCACTCATTTTCTCATTACTCCTCAAACTTCAGTTCCCAAAATCTGGCATAACTACACTAACTCACTCCAGTAATTCTTAACTATCATGTTTATAATGCAGATAAAAACCCAACACCTCCCACCCTATCCTGCTGAGATATGAAGCACTATATATACATATATATATATATATGTATGAAGCACTATAGTCCCATGAGTTCATCTTTGAAGCATTACTCAATAGTTTTGGACATAGCTATCCCTACCACCTCATCAAAGTCATGGTATTTTGAAGACTGTTCCAAACCACTTCATACAACAGTGCAAAATCAGGGGGGCCACAGCTGAATTAACAGAGGGACATTTTATTCACACTACGCTCAGTGTCTGACTGCATGTTCTTCCAACTGATAAACCCATTCTGCCCTTTCTGAACCTCTCTTCATGAGCAAAATCCTCAAGCCCTTACAGGAAGAACAGGAACACCTTATTCTCTCTAAAATCATAGAATCATAGAATCGTTAGGGTTGGAAAGGACCTTAAGATCATTTGATGTTTCCAATGCAGTGGCAAAATGGCTGTCTGCTTACAATTTCATAGAATCATGGAAGCATAGAATAGTTATGGTTGGAAAGGACCTTAAGATCACCTAGCTCCAATCCCCTTACCATGCACAGGGAGACCACACACTAAACCATATCACCCAAGGCCCTGTCCAACCTGGCCTTGAACACTGCAGGGATTCACAGCTTCCTTGGGCACCTAAATCCAGTGCCTCACCACCCTCACAGTAAAGAACTTCTTCCTTATATTTAACCTAAACTTTCCGTTTCAATTTTAACTTGTTCCCCTTGTCCTGTCACTCTGGTCCCTAATGAAGAGTCCCTCCCCAGCATCCTTGTAGGCCCACTTCAGATACTGGAAGGCTGCTATGAGGTTTCCACACAGTCTTCTCCAGGCTGAACAGCCCCAGCTTTCTCAGCCTGTCTTCATATGGGAGATGCTCGAGCTCCCTTATAATTTATACTACATGAAAGAAGTTTGCAGAGAGGAACTGTGCTGCCACAGCATCCTCCTAGCTAGTGTCACTGTCATACTCAAGGTCCAAAGAACAATTAAACAGAATCCCTCAAAACATGAGAGCAGATAGGAAATGAAACATGAACAAGCTCAAATCTTCACTCAAGTCATGCACAAATGACCCCTGAAGTCTGAGGGGAAGAAAAAAGAGGAAAAAAAAAGGCCTGGTGACTTTCCAACATTTTTTTTTAATTATTTTTTAATGGAAATGTAGATCTTCAGGTAGATAGAAATGTACTTTTTTTTTTTTTTTCTAATAAAAAGTCGTCCTCATCAGAGTCCCTACTCATTAAAGTAAATTATAAAAAGGGGGATTCAGATAAGCATCCAAACTTTTAAATAGTGCAAACCTCCACATTTTTGACGCTCATCCACCATGACTAATCTCATACAGGTACTATTCATATTGATACGTGTTTTCTCATTAGCTCCAAGTGGAACAAGAATGAAGGATGACAACCATACAGAACATATTTATAGATAGAGTGGCACTGACAAGCATGCCATGTAATTGCTATGAGGTTTTTGCAACTCAAATTACACACATAACAATAAATATTATAAAATAATGTTCAGTTGGGAAGATAAACAATACAGTGGAAACCGGTTTACTTTAAAGTAGTTTAGTACAGATGATTCCACTATACTTGGGTAGTTCAATGTGCTTGTACATTACACATACTCATTATACAACTACACCAACAGTTTACATCTATCTGTAGCTACAGGTTAGAGATATCTACAGAGAACTTGTCTCTGCATTTCTACCTTTATCAGCATACTGAAATAATAGCGACATTCAGAGATAAAAAATGCAAAAAGATGATACTTTTAAACTTTTGTTTTTCAAAAGAGGAAAGTGATTATTGCAGTGATAGCAAAAGACACAAAATTCTTGTTGTCAAAAAAAGAACTGGAAAGAACACAATTCTTTCCAGATAGCAGAAAATAGAAACAAACCACATATTATTCCTGTTTAATTTTTTTTTTTTTTTGAGTTACATAGGGTAGCTGTGTGGAAATACTCTAGCCTGTCCAGAGATAGAAACAGCTTCAAAAGTAGGGGAGAAACTGAAGAATTCTAAGCCATAAAAAGGACAGAAGCCCAATAACAAACACCAGATGAAGGCTCTTACTTTGTTTTGAAGTAGAATGCTGCACAAAGCATGCCCACTACGACTATGCCAAAGACGATACAGGAAATAGACAGCACCTGGCGCTGGTACACCTCTTCGCTCTCTGTAAACAGCAAAATTGAGAATTATGAAAGCATCAGAAAACAATACCTGTGAAAAGTGGATTTCAGCACATCGTTTCTCTAATGATGGACAGATAGGAGATATCTGGAGGTCTCCGTTGGCCAGTTCCTCAACAGAATGGAACTGAACCTCTCATTTGATAAGGTTCATAGAGTTGTGGCCTCCTAGGAGAGTTTTAGAAAATGTTCCAATACACACAGAGAAACATGTAATAATAAAAATCAGGAGTGTTTAATATTTTCTCTGCCTTACGTACTCGTTTTCAGCTTTTTTAGAAAGATCCTACTGTCAATAGGATAAAGAGCCCTACAACCACGGAGTCTTTTTGACTTAGGGCAAGACCCAACAGAGCTCTCACAAGGTCCCACAAGACTCAGTTCTTTTTTAGCCACCCCAATTTACTTTTTTTTTGATTGAATGGTGATTACAATTACTCCTTGTCATCCCTTGTACTTGAAGCTTAAGTACAACATGCAACAGTAAAAAATTAATTCAATCATCTTGGATGGAACCCAATGACTACATGGTTACAAGGCACCAAATATTGCTTTCATGGGAGTCAATTTTTAAAATGAAATTTCCTTAATGAATCCCATAATCTAATTAATTTTAAAACAGGAACAGAATGAAAGTTAACTAAAAAAGCTAAGAAAACAAGAGAAAACATGCATTCATAATATCAGACAACTGATACTGGAGCTTCACACACCAAATTCATCAACAGCTCCTTAAGTGTAATATTTTGGTTTTATTATTTCAACTAGTCCTCTAGGTCTACGTACTAACATGCTAAATAGATTGTTATTTTTTAAGATCAGTTTTCCAAACATGCAACATACTAACCAGTATTTTTATTCACATATTTCAGATAGAAAACCAACATGTAGGATCATCAAAGCACAGTACAAACACTGCACAAGACAAACCTACATATTCTCTTTTGGTTGGAGATCTTCAGCAGAGACCCCCACAACAATATGAACACCAGATGCACAGGTCAAGTAGGTGACAGTAATTCCAAGTTCCGGGTTCATAAGTCCCAGGTACATAAGAAGAAAATATTGTTTGGCAATATCAAGGTGAATCTAGGCAAATACTGAAAAAAACTCTGCACCTAACTGGAACTTCAAATACTACCTGGTGTAATAATGACTGAAGACTGTACAGTATCCTAATCAGTACCGATTATTAATTTCTCAAGAATGAATATCATAGTGCTATTACTAAACATCTGGCATTTTAAATACAGCCATTTGTCTAGTGAAAGTCACAGTCCCTTTTCACAAGCTATTTTGAATAAAATTACAAGTACCGAATCTTTATTTCTTAATTATTTCCTCACTCGAAGAACATCACAGTGATTCAGAAGCCATTTCTAAGCTGCAAAATGTCTTCAGCTCCTGCTGACTTTTCACCTTATTTAAATTTGAAATTCTAAAAGCTGTATTTTTAAAATGTAGTCTTAAAAGGTAAAAAAATAAAATAAAATAAGCAGCAAATACAGTAACTTACACTTTTTACATGCCTTTACATATTCAATTCAATATGAAATCATGACAACACTGCAGTAACTTATTCCAGAAAATTTGGATCTAGACAATAAAACCTCATTAGCTATGAAATAAATATTTTGGGGTTTCATTTATTTTTTGTTTGTTTGTTTTTAATAGGCTGTCTAAACACAGTTATTCACACAGCAGTAGACAAAGGACTCATCTTAAAAATTTTGAATTTTTATGTTGAGATGGATCATAGTTGAAGAATTTATGCAAATATAAAGCAGACAGTTGAAGAATTGTTCAGCGCAGCAACTGTTAATCTGATTCAATTCAATTAACTAATTGAATTGAAAATCAACTAATTCAAGCAAACTCTGCTTGAACATCAATTTCAGTACCTAGGGCCCGAGACCACAACTACAACATACTAAAATAACTGACATATTAACAAACTGACATTTTACTCAAAAACTGCATATAGTAAAAAACATTTATTAATTAAGCTGATTTAATTAGTGTGTGGAAGAAGGCTTAACTTTGCTTTTCTGTCAACCAAGGTCCTCATTAAATATTTTTTTATTCTTTTTGCTTTTGTTATTTTTTGAGAAATGGTGAGTTTAATGCAGCTATGGTCTTTTGTCAGTCTTGAATAGCTATCACTGTCCTGTTAAGATGCGTTAGAATATGTCTTACCGAGATGAAAGCAATTCAGAGACTGGACAATATTATCTTGCTCAAACAACTATGTGAAGATTTAAGTCTTTTGTGTAGTCAGATTAATCCCTGTCACTAGCTTTCAACACATACTGATCAATACTTTCTTTCTTTTTTATTTTGTATAGTGCCTATTTAAAGAACCACTTATTAAATTTACTCTATTTCTTAGACATCATTGTTCTTTTTTTTTATATGTATATTCTTTAAATCTTTATGTACTGGACTCCACTATTTTTAGTCTTCAACATCCTAACATATCAAGTCAAGCATTTTTTTTCTACTCTTTAATTTTCCACATTGTTGTTTTTTTTTTTTTTAAAAAAATCCCAAACCTCAAGACCCCGCCTTTTTCCTGATAGAAATGTAAACTGTTTCTCTTTTCAAACTTTGAAGGTCTCCTCATTGTTGCCTTGATTTAACCTCACTATTGCTCTAAACACACATAGCACAGCTGAGACTCTCTCTAGCTAAGGTATACTGAATAGGGTCTCTAAATGTGGCAGAAGGTTATAGCTAAGTACACTTTTGCTCTCAGAGGACAGAAACCTGCATAAATTCAGTGTAGAAAAGAGAAGAAATGAAAACTCCTCCTTAGTTGAGGATGTGAATCAACTTGTGCATACATGTACTTACACACTGGACAAAACTTCCCAAGGTAATCTAAAGTGTGAATGAAATTATAAGTCTCTCTTTATTCATATATATTTGTATATTCCTTGTGAAGTAAACCACCTTAATTACATTCTATGGAAATAAATACTCCTGGAAGATGATCTGACTCTTAATGAACAGCCAAGAGAACATTTCAGCTAAAGAACAAAATATAAACTGCTATGGATATTGCTAGATAATTTAGCTGGGGAGATAAGACTACAGAACACGAATTCTGCCAAACATTAAAATTATACAGGATACATAACTCAAAGAAACATAACCTATACAAATAAAACTACAGACCACAATGCTGAGAAAGTGTCCTGGGTTCAGCAGTTGCAGTCATGTTTCTCCTTCGTGGTAGCTGGTGGAGTGCTGTGTTTTGACTTCCAGCCTGGGAACAGTGTTGGTGAAGTCGATGTTTTTGGTTGTTGCTAAGTGATGTTTACCCTGACCAAGGACTTTGTGAGGCTCATGCTCTGCCAGGGAGGAGGGGAAGCCAGGAGGAAGCAGAGACGGGGCACCTGACCCAGGCTAGCCAAAGAGGTATTCCATACCACAGCACGTCATGCCTGGGGTGGGGGGTAACGGGGAGTTACCCGGAAGGACACGGGCTTCCGACTGGGACTTGTCTCTTGGCCGGTGGTATTGTATTCTAAGGAGGGGTGAACTGGCCCAGGTCAGAGATGGAGCAGGTCGAAGCTCCCGTGCTGGTCAGATCTGTTGTTATCTCAACCCTTTGTGCCCCATGTTGGGTGCCAAAAAGAACTGTCGTGGTTTAAACCAAACCAGACAACTCGTTCACTCACTTCCCCCCCTTCTTGCCCTCCCCCTACTCCTCGAGGGATGGAGAGGAGAGTCAAAAAGAATGCAATTCCCATGGGTTGAGATAAGAACAGTTTAGTAACTAAGGTATAACACAAATCACTGCTGCCACCACCAATAACAATGATAAAGGAAATAACAAGGGAAGAGAATACAGCACACCTCACCACCAGCCAACCGATAACTCTCCCCCCCCAAGCCTGACCAAGCTCCGACTGATACCTCCTCCAACCTCACAGTCTACCAGCCCTTCCTTAGTCAACCTGGTGTGCCCCAGCTCCCTGGGGCTCACCGTATTGATGCCAGGTGTGGTGGCGCGCGCCTGTAGTCCCAGCTACTCGGGAGGCTGAGCCCGCTGGATCGCTTGAGCCCAGGAGTTCTGGCTGCAGTGCGCTATGCCGAGCGGGCGTCCGCGCTAAGGGGGGAAGTGAGTGAACAAGTTGTCTGGTTTGGTTTAAACCACGACAGAAAGTAACATAGTAAACTGTTTAGATGGAGCCTAATTTGTTTAATAAAAAGTATGGAAAGAGAGATCATTCTAGAAAATAAAGACAAGACAAGCTCACATGGGACATGAAGCCTGCTAAGACTGGGTTCCCATAGACAAGTCCGCGTTCACTGAGTGCACTGCTACATGTTTAGCCCACTTTTTTATATACTATTGATTATTTTAATTCCTGCTACAAAATTTTGTCTTCCCTTTAACTCTGTCATGTCACCTCACTGAATATAAACTTCTCGTGTCTTAAGTGTTCCTTTTTCTGAGCTTCTCTCACACATCTGATACCATTATGAAACACAAAATGAGTACTGGTGACCCATGGAACCAGAAGTTTCTTCCAGCACTCATATCATAGTCAAATTTCATCTGTCTGTTACTGAAAAGAAGTACATGCCATATTCTAGCTACTAGGATTGGGATTTTTTTATTCTCTTGCTTCTTAAAAATGTACTTTTTAAAGATGTCATCTGTCTGCTTTACGTACGTGGTCTCCCGCATCCTCAAAGTCCCATATATAAGAGAAGAGGATTACATGGAAACCCCATACAACATCAAGATTACCCATAAGTTAAAAGGCACAAGAGAAATTAAAGCATATTTCTCAATATACTTAGACTTATGTGTGACAAGTGTTGAACTATATATGACATTCTAAATTTATTTCATGAAGAGAATAAGAAAAGCCTACATGTTCCACAAAATCTGTGATTGCCTCAGCATCAGACTTCCAACTGTCCCAAGAATTTTCTCTGTTCTTTCACTTGCAAAAACCTACTGTACAGA